AGTGGCTCCATCTCGGTTGAACAGCCATTTTGTTGTTTATGCAGTAACATTTAAACTGTCCCTGCACACACCGCCCCCCCCCACCCCCGCCAGGGGAACTTACTTAAAAGCAAGTCTGGGAAACCAGTAAAATGTGGTCGACGAGTCCCTGATAACAGAGCCCAAATACAAGGGCGGGTCAGGTCAGGTGGAGATAACAGAGCCCGAATGCAGGGATGAGTCGGGCCAAGTGGAGACATCCAATCAGTGGGGCGCGCATACTGTCTCCCTAGATACCAAGGAGTGTGGGTCCTGCCTTTTGGGCGCCAATTCTGACCAAGGAGATAGGCTAGTTCAAATAGCTACTATGGGGTGAATTGTAATTCAATTGGCCACCCGTGTGTGACCTAGCATGACTGTGCAGCTTTCTCTGTGTGTTGCAATCTCATTGGCCACCTACGTGTGGCCAGGCTCAACCACATGGCCTTTCCCCTATAAAAGTTAGTCTGTGAGGCTGGGGGTCGTCGCTCTCTCTGTAAGAGGTGGCCCCGAATGGTCGGTTTGATTCTCGATGCTTGGCACGAAATAAAGCTTTGCTTGACCTTCGCTTTGTATCAGTCTCGCTCCTTTGATCACGGACCCTAACAGTGCCTACTTGAGTCGGACGGAATCTTCAGAGAAGGGCCATGTGAAGTTCTGTTTACCTGTTGCAAATTCCTAGGCCTGATTCCTCAGTGATGTGTGGAGAGAAGCCAGTTGGTCACACTGATGACTACAAAAGGCTACAAAGCAGGTGACGAGAACAGGTGTGTCACTTGGGGGCACAGCTGTGCTGGTCCCTAATTAACTACGAGCTGGGAGGGGGTATGGTGGCAGAGCAGGAGGGGAAAAGGAGTCCTGTTTGGTAGCCTCAGGCAATTGCTCATCTCCCTGGAGTAAATACTGCCGTCCTGATGGACTTCAAGCTACTATCCTGCCGTTACTGAGCGAGGAGGGCAAGAGGTGCAAACGAGCAGCTCCCCCGGGCTGCGTCGGCTCACCGCGGCTCAGAGAAGACCCAGGTCTGTGTCAGAGACCACAGCTCCAGGGAGATGGCTGGGCTGGCTGCTAGGGGACTTACATTCCGTAAGAATAGAGGGGGTTGCAGAGAGTGGGAAGGGACCTCAGATGAGACCAAGACTCGGTGCTTTCTTGACAGGATCCTTCCTTTAGAAGACATCATGGGACAGGGTCCTTGGAGCCAGAGTTCATTACAGCCTCCCTTTGCTGTCTGAGGTTGAATTCCAAGCCCCTCGGTGTCCTGTTTCGGTGGGGCCTTTACCAACCCTTCTTCTGTGTATAGGATAGGATAGGTCCCGCTTCGGACTGAATGTTTGTGTCCCCACAAAATTCCCATGTTGAAACCCTCCCGCGGTGGTGTCTGGAAGTAAGGCCTTTGGGAGGTAATTAGGCTCTGAGGTGGGGAGCCTCCATGACAAGATTAGCGTCCTTGTGAGACAGGAAGAGCGCCAGCCCCTGCCTGGTCTCCAGCCCGTGACGATACCAGCAGATGGGTCCTCACCAGACACTGCATCTGCCCACGCCTTGATCCTGGAATCCTCAGCCTTCCTGACCTGAATCATCCCCTCGCTTTTTAAGCCACCCAGCACCCCAAACGAAGACAGAGTCCCCTCTTATGTGCGCTTGAAGAGGTCTCCTCCTTTTTGATAAAACTGCTTTACCTAAGTTCCAAAAAGAGAGATAGTTTAACCTGATGCTGTTTCTGTTCCTCTTCAGCTACCCACAGCAGCTCTTCAACTGCTCAAACTCCCGTCTTCATCACGGCCTCAGGCATCTGGGATTTGCCGCTGAAACACACGCAGATGGCTGGTTAGCCCACAGGGTGCAGCGGGGACCCTACAGTCTGTAGGACGCTTAGACCTGCCAATCTCTATGGTCACAACACTTGCTCCCTGTTGCCAGCCTCACTGCAGGTGCATCCTCCTACCCAGGAGAAGACGGGCAGGAGGGCACGGTCAGACCCTCACAGCCATCAGAACCGCTGGCAAGAGAGGCCGCACGGGCCCCAGATGTCTAGTACCGCCACTGCCTGGGAAAATATGAGACCCAGTTAGAAATCATTTCTCAGGGGCGCCTGGGTGGCTCAGTGGGTTAAGGCCTCTGCCTTCGGCTCAGGCCCTGGTCCCAGGGTCCTGGGATCGAGTCCCGCATCGGGCTCTCTGCTCAGCGGGGAGCCTGCTTCCCTTCCTCTCTCTCTCTGTCTGCCTCTCTACTTGTGATCTCTCTCTCTGTGTCAAATAAATAAATAAAATCTTAAAAAAAAAATCATTTCTCAATTTCTTCTTACCAGAAAAGACAAGCAAAATATATTAAGAGCCAGGTTTTTCCTCCTGGTTCTGTCCTCCTAGACCAGTGGTCCTCAGCAGGGGGGTGGTTTAGTACCCTCCCTCCAGGGGACATTTGGCAATGACTGGAGACATTTCGGTTGTCAGCGGAGGTGAGAGATGCTCCTGGGATCCAGTGGGTGAAAGCCAAAGGTGTCGTTAAACATCCTACCGTGCACAGGACAGCCTACCCCGCCCCCCACACCCAACAACAAAGAATGTTCTAGCCCAAAATGTCTGTAGCAGACACCCTGGTCCCAGTGAGTGAAGGCCAAAGGTGTCCCTAAATATCCTACAGTGCACAGGACAGCCCCCGTCCCCAACGAAGAATGATCTAGCCCAAAATGTATGTAGCAGAAACCCTGGTCTCTGCACATTAAAAAAGGTTTCCCCCAAACTAAAGCCATGGCATTCTTGCTCCAAGAAGGAATCATATCCACAAATCATATTTTATTAGCTGTCCAATGCCACCTTCCATTCATGTCCTGTGTTTTAATTAAATTTTATGAACTACCAGTGCAAATCAATACAATGCATTTTTTTTTTTTTTTTACACACCAACAGCTTGAATGTTCTTGAAGCTTTTAAACAATGAGTTGACTGTGGGCAAACAGAAGGCAAGGAATCACAGATAATTAGCTCATGCATCTGGTGCTGGCTAATAAATAAATAATTTTCACATGAACATAGAAACCACTCAATGTTATTAACTGTATTTTTTTAATAGTTGGAAACTGTAATAAAATGCCATTTTCAGAAGCATCTTGGCAACTAAATAGAACTGTTTCATTTAAAAAATAGTTAAGTTACTTTCCCCTAGACTGGGGTGGGTGAACTTGTAGCAAAATCTTCCATTCCACTTGACTCTGGCAGATGGAGTGATCTTTCACAAAATACGTTTTTCTGCACTTCTTTTCATAAAAGCCAGCCGCCAGGAAGAGCACCCTGCTTTGAAAAAAGATAGTTTGGCTCACACAGTATACTTTGGTTTATTTAAACAGGTAAGAAAGTGGTCCCCAGTTCTCCTGAGGAGAAAATGTGTTTTCTGACTTTTGAATAAATCAAGATATTACCAGTCTGAATGAGTTTCCTTTTCTGTTAAGGAAGAAGTATATCTTTCATTCCCTCCAGTGTTCAGTTGCTCCTCTTGGGAAACAGTCTTCGGATAACGTATCTCTGTCTCAATGTACCAGTAGCCCCACACCGTGACTTCCACACGACCGAGGTCTGACATTCAGTGTCTGACGGGATCAGCATTCGGCGTGTCCTTGGATCTGGGGCTCGATCTGAACTAGAAGTTCTCATAATACACCTACGAGTATCTTCTTAAAAGATATAAAATTGTATGCTAACTTGTGCTCTCTTAGTAAGGCTTGAAAATTGCTAATTAAATAAGCAGAATATAACTCATAAGCCAAAAAAAGTGCATTTTTTAAATAAAATTAAGAAATGGGGATGGTTAAAACTATAATAAAAAGGATGAGCAGATTATTTTTGGTTAATCTTGGATGGAAATGATGCAATAGTTTCTTTTTTTCTTCTTTTTGAGTCCATTTGGTTTTGCTTAATACACTCACAAGGACAGCCATGAGTGTATCTCTGAATCTCACCAGCACTCCCGGGCCCTAGAGCCCTACCCCTGTCCTCAATTCTATGGGGAGACACGTGCTTGCCTCTCATTCCAGAGAACACTTTTTTTATAAAACTGGTCTTAATTCATAACTATTTCAATGAGCACAAAAGACAACATCTCTCACTGTTGTGAACACAATCAAAATCTCCACGTCTTTGGGCTCATAACCTCACAATCATTCTGGCTTTGTCTGACACCGGAACGGGGGTGCTTTTGGGCCACTTTTGCAGGCAAAGTGGGAGATTTTAATTCCTGTTAAGTCCAGCCAAATAAGCAGAGAGAAATCAGACGCTCTCTCCCCTCCTCTGTTTTACTAATGAGTCAAATTCTTTTTTTTTTTTTTTTTTTTTTTCACCTTTAGGGAAACCTCTTCCTTGTCACAGCCCCATGTTTGGTAATCATGAAAGGGAAAAACGAAAGCATCTCCCCAGGTCTAGGCCTGGGAGTTCATGTTTTTTTGCTGCTCGTCTTCTGTTTCTGCTTGCGAAGGTGAGCCTCGATCTCGTGCCTGAACACCAGCATGCCCAGCTGCCCGTGGGACGCCTCGTTCATGGCCTTGGACTGCATGCACATCTTGTACTGCTCGGGGGTCAGCTCGTCCGCACAGTGCTTCTCGTGCCACAGGTGGAAGAGCCCGCGCACCGGCGTCCGCACCACGATGAGGTTGCTGTGGAGGTACTTGCGGTAAAGGTGCACGTCCTCTCCGCCCCAGCCCTTGATGTCCAAATCGAAGCCGCCTGTCGGGAGAGAGCACAGCGCTGAAGCCAGCCGCACCGCCCCTCCCCATCTAGATTCGCCGCCCCTTCGCGTGGAGAGAAGCATCATTTAGGGCAGACATCTTGGTGCCTGCCCCTCCGAATGTGGAGCGGGGCCGTCGGGGAAAGAGGATTCAGAAATCCTGAACGCAGGACTTCGGGGCAGTGGCGGCCGCGAGCACCAGCTCCCGAAGCTCCCAACACTGCAAAGGGCATTCATTCCCAGCACCTGCCTGCTTTCTAGAACGAGACCCCTGAGCCGCCCCATGAGGAACGGCAGCCGCCTGCCTTTTCTACTTGAAACCTTCCGATGAAAATTCTGGTTTCTGTTTGCATGTGGCCTCCTGTCATTCAGACAGGGAAGCAGGGGCTCGATCCCTGAAAGGGTAGCGGGATCTAAGTGAACAAAATGATGTCCCACAAAACACTCTGCCTCTCATGGACTGAAATGGTCCCAAAAGCTCTGTCCACCCCAGGCCAGTGATGTGAGTCATGTTTAAGGGACTGGCCTCGCTGTGCAGAGTTTCTACTCTGAAAATCTGGCCTTGCTTCAGAGTGGACTCTATCAAAGTGAGTAATGGTCCCCTCCACGCTCATCATTATAAACAGAGATGCCCCATGTCTTTTCTTAACCTGAAGCCCACCACGAACCAGAGAGAACCAGAGAAGACTTTACCCTTTTTGTCACTGTTCCTCTCTCACCTAGGAGATTTATTTAACTCCTATGAGAAACAGTGACGTTATCCTCAACACCTTTCATCAGAGCCACCATGCAGCCCCCAAGCTGCGCTGTTCTGATCAAGGCCATCACTGGGCCTGGAGGGGTCATCCATGGGGGAAACCTGCAGCCTGCCCACAGCTGGGCTCTGTATGCAAGTGATCTGTGTTCCCCCCATGGTGGGCAGGTGTGATACTGACTCAGGGGTCTGGAATTTGAGCCTGGGGTTGGCCACTTCACCTCTCTTGAGTTGTGGTTCCTTTATCCTGAAATGAACTGAATGTCATAACCAAATGACATAGTCATGTGAGGGGCAGTGCTTGCTTAGCTGTAACTGATTTATTATCATCAACATCATCACAACTTATTAAATAGAAGGTGCAAAAGTAAGATGCTTGCAAATAAATACAAGATGGCAAAGAAAGACCAGGGTCCAGATGTGACCCAGAGATTCTGAGGTCACATCAGTGGCTCACGGAGGAAGAGCGTCCTCACCAGCCTACCGTTCCCACATGTTTCAATGGCAGCTGTGCCCCATCTATAGGAAAATCCAATTTATTATAAATTCAAATTTGATAAACATACATCATCACAAAATAATCTTTCCCTGTACAAAGAACAAGGAAACACAGAGTTTCTCGAAATGGAAACCTGCTTTAGAAAGGGAATATGGGGGTGGGGGGTGGGGATGGAAATCTCCATGCGCTGTGAAGGCAGGGCTACCCTGACCCCAAGCCAGGGTCCACTCTGACCCCCTGAGCACAAGATCAAAATTTCTGCCTTATTCATTCATATCCTAGTCACATATGATCCATAATTTTGTTCCGTTTCGGGGCACATGAGTAGATACTGCTGTGGGAAGTGGGATAGTATTTCCAAGGGGGACAGGAAACGCTCTGTTCTCATCCTACGTCCCTCACTTGCTGTGTGGTCCCTTTGCCCTTTTCAACTGCAATCTAAGGGCCTTTCCTCTCAGTGCTCTGGGAACGTGTGTGTGTGCACACGCGCGCTGACAGGGACTATACACTCATTTGGAGTTTGAAGTAGTACCTAGAATTTTTGAAGGTTCAGCAGAGAGAAATTTGAACCCTTTCCAGTATGTGATTTTCCCAAATTCCCCGTGTTGTCCTTATTTTTTTTCAGTAGATCCCGCTACTACCGTGGAGGCCCAGAATGTTCTGCTTGAGAGGGATCAGAGCCAGAACCAGGTGGGAAGGAGGCATCGGGGGTTGGGGGCGGGGAGGGTGGGGAGACTTGCTTTGAAGCCACCTTTCTGCGACAACGGCCTTTTTCCTCAGACTGTGTGCCACATTTGGGGTAACCGAGAGGGTCTAGTGGAGATCAGAGGGGCTTGTGTGTCGACACACGCCCAAGCCTCGTCCTGGTCCAGCCTCCAAGGCCCTGACAGGAGGAAGGGCCTCTTCTTAAGCAATGGCACTACCTCTGCCCTCAGACTCCTGGGGAGCTGCCCCGATCCCACCCGGGCTGCTCGTGGCCTCTGGGTGGCAGCAGAGGCCAGACTTGCCGCCAGTCGGTGCCTCTTACCTATATTGATGAAGTCTGACCGGTACTGACAGGTCATCCCAAATCCAAAGTCTCTCCAAAATCCAGTCTCCTTCTTTATGACCTGCAGGGAGAGAGCACTGTCATTTGAGAGGGGAGGATGGAGTGGAGAGAGGTAAAGAGCAGTCCCACACTAGTGTAAGCACAGCTCAACAGGGAGCCCAGCCCACTGACGAGAAGCCGCCCCACAACCTCCTGTGGGAAATGCAGATGGATCTGAGTCCCTGCGGATGGTTAGGGATACACTGAACTCACGGGTTCCCAAATGGGCCTTGTGATTTTTGGCACCGCTGGCTGGAATGTTTCTAGGGTGTAGCCATGAAAACACACACACACACACACACTCTCTCTCTCTCTCTCTCTCAAAAACAAACCAGGAGAGCCAGTTTTTGAGCAGTGCCATGGAAAAGCCACCTACGTGTCTGGCCCGACACCAGTGCCAGAGAGAACTGGAGGCCTCGGCCCCTCACACAGGGCCGGGCAGGGAGCCAGCAAAGGGCTCAGGAAGTGGAGAAAAGGGAGAGAGAACAACTCGGAATTCAGCTGCTCTGGCACAGGGCACACACAGGACTCCCTAGGGAATAAAAAGAAAACCCGAGAAGGCGCTGGGTTGCTTCAGCTCTGCTAACTCTCCCTTGCTGAGGTAAAGGGCACCAAGAGTCCAGGTTCTGAAGAGAGACTCTGTCCATTCATCTTTAAACTATTTGAAAACCAAACTGCTCCCAAAACAACTGTGGCAGTGGCAAGCAGCAGGACTGCCGAGAGGCCATCCAAGCAGTGACTGTCTCTAAAGAGCAGGACCAGGTCCCACTCAGTCTCTCACTCTGCAAGGAAATTTCCAGTGTATTTGCTAAAGCAGCAAGACTTTTTAAAACGTTGGTTTAAATTTTGGGCTGAGGTAATTCCAGGGCTTGTTTTGAGAGCTTACTAGTTCTTTTTCATTCTTGAGGTTAACATAGGTGCTTAGGGGAAAAAGTCCCCTCCTGGGGAAGGGAAAGGGAGGCCAGGCCGAACCAGGTCCCCCTCCCCTGGGATTTCTGCATCTTCTGCCCGCCCCAGGTCTGGCTCCCTTCGCTGCTCAGCAGAGACAGTGTATAGCAGGGGAGGAGACCCAGTGTCTCCTTCCAGCTTGACCACTGGCTAGCTTCTCTGCCTCAGGCAGGTCCCTCACTTCTTTGAGCCTCTATTTCCTTTCCTATAAATGAGGAGGTTGAGGGGTGCCTGGATGGCTCAGTCGGTTAAGCATCCAACTCCTGATTTTACCTCAGGTCATGATCTCAGGGTCCTGGGATTAAGCCCCACATGGGGCTCCGTGCTGGGCATGGAGCCTGCCTAAGATTCTCTCCCTCCTTCTGCGCCACCCCCAAAATAAAATAAATAAATAAGGGGCACCTGGGTGGCTCAGTTGGTTAAGCGTCTGCCTTCAGCTCAGGTCATGATCCCAAAGTCCTGGAATTGAGTCCCACATCAGGCTCCAGGCTTAGTGGGGAGTCTGCTGCTCCCTCTCCCTCTGCCCCTCCCCCCGCTTGTGCTCTCTCGCTATTTCTCTCTTGCTCTCAAATAAATAAAATCTTTTAAAATGAAATAAAATAAAATAGGAGGTTGAGCTAAATCTCCACTAAGGTCTCTTCCAGCTCCACCATCCAAACATCTATCTTCACTGCCCTTCCACCTTCCCGAAGTTCCAAGTTATGTCCACCAAAGCCTCAATTATATTCCATATATGGCTCGTGGAAGGACTGTGAACTCAAAAATTCTTTGGCTCTGTGATCCATGAAACCATCTTATCTCTGCTACAGCCTCTGCATAGACATGGCCTGGGCTGAGGGAACACACACGCGTCAGGGCTGCCGGGGGGGAAGTAAGGACCGAGAGAGGTTTTGTCAGTCGGTGTGGTCCCCGCAGATGTGCTCCAACTGGAACAAAGGCCCGTTATACAATATCTCCCAAGTGACAAGGCAATTTCATTAGTATCAACTGGAAAGATTTTGCAGGGAAGGAAAGTTTGGGGAAATCTCCACTGAGTCATTTTTTAAAAAACAGTTTCTGTTTCATACCAGGTACACGGTTTCTGGTGCAACTAATGGCTTAATATCCTTTCTGCTGGCAAGGACACAAACAGACGAGTCCTCTAAGCTTCTGGATAAAAATGGAATCAAAGACAAGGGCCAGTAACCAAACATTAAGCATTTGGCTGAGGTGTACCTGGACTCCAAGCAGGAATGCCCCAAACAGGAAGAACAATGGGCCAGGGCTTGGGAGGAAAGACAAGAAGGATTGCAAGAGGTGGTCACCCCAGACATGGGCTGTGCATGCGGTGCCCGGCAAGGCTGAACAAGGTCGAGAGGGACCCTCACACCTGCGGACCATGGGACAGACACAAACTGATTTACGAGCTGGGGAACGCACTCTGTAAACACTTATTAACATTGGCTTTAAAGTTGGCAAGCCAGAAAAAGCCACTATCTTGGGGTGCCTGGGTGGCTCAGTGGGTTAAAGCCTCTGCCTTCAGCTCGGGTCATGATCCCAGGGTCCTGGGATCAAGCCCCACATCGGGCTCTCCGCTCAGCGGGGAGCCTTCTTCCTCCTCTCTCTCTGCCTGCCTCTCTGCCTACTTGTGATCTCTGTCAAATAAATAAATAAAATATTTAAAAAAAAAGAAAGAAAGAAAGAAAGAAAGAAAGAAAAAGCCACTATCTGAAATGTTCCTTGAAACTGAGCCCTTGGGGGACACGGGTTGGCTCGCACCCTACCCATGGCCTAGGACATCAGGGCAAGAGGAGGTTCACTTCTGACAGGCTCTATGACACACAGCTGTGCTGAGTCCCTGGCACCGTGCCCTTGGCCCTGCTGGGAGTGAGTCCTCTCAAATATGTATCGGATCACAGCACACTCCAATTTAAAACCCTGAGGTGCTTTAATTGCATTCTCACTAATACAATTAGAATAAAACCCAGAGAAAACCTCTAGCTTGCGAGGGTCCTACGTGACTCGACCCCTGCCTGCCTCGTCCACCTCGCCCCCTCGTGCAGAATCTCCTCCTAGTCCACCCCTCGAACACACCAGGCTCCCAGGTCCCCGATGCCGGACACTTGCAGACCCCTGGCCAGGGTCACCTTTTCCCTGCTCACCACTGGGCTCTGCTCCCATGTCACTTGCCTAGAGCAGTCATCCTGACCCTCCCAGCCAGTGTCAGCACACACCCCCACCTCTGTCACCACCATGTCACTCTGGTTCCTTCTCTCTGTAACACTCACAGCTCTCTGAAACTGTCCTGCTGAGGCATTTGTTCCTCTCTTTTCTGTCTTTCCTACCACTGCTGGTGAAGGTCAGCCCAGGGCCCTGGGCTCCTTCACAGCCCCCAGATCAAGGTCCAGCACACAGAGGTGCTCCATAAATGCTCCTCCAACAGAGAATGAGGAGCCCTCCTAGGGCAGAGAGGGCTCCATGCCAGTGGAAACAGACAGGGCTCCAGCAGAGAATTCTTTAGTGGGTCAGCAAAGGCCTAGGAATTCCAGTGGGAAAAGAACTGTGGGGCTTTGGAGGAACAGACTAAAACATTTTCACCTTCCTGGGCTCTGAGCAGACGGCTCTCCTGTTTAGAGCCTCGACCCCAGGCACAAGAAGCTCCCCTGATTGGTTCGAACTTTGAAAAGACAGACACCAATGATGTTTACTACAACAGAGGAGGAAGAAACCCTCTGATAAAGATTGTATGTTAAAAGAAAAACATCCGTCCCGAATTTCGCCTTTCGCCTATCGGTTTTCAAGTGCTATCCTCACTTAAAAAAATCTCTCTCGAGGGCTGGCTTCCTCTCAACTCCCTGCAGCCCCCTTTCTCCCCTCGCCTTAGATCTCAGCAGAGCACTGCAGGGCAGGAACACACCACAAAGGACAGTTGTCAAGCCCGCTCTCCCACAGGAAGCTTCCAGACCCGCAGCTCTGTGAGCAATTCACGTGACGGGGGTGATTATTTTCTATGGGGACCAGAGCACAAAGCACAAATCGGTGTCTCTCCCCAGAGATGTGGGAAGGCGGCGTCCCACAGCTGCGTGAGGAGATGGGAGGCCGTCCGCGCCTGTTGGTTTAATGGTGCTGACTTGGACAACTGCCCGCGAAGCAATCTGGGCCCTGAAATAAAATAAATAACAAATACTCAGGCCGAGTATTTCCTCTAAATCAAAGAGAGCCTCTGAAGCACCGAGGCTGTGTTTGCCCAGGCTCGCATTCACACGCAGCACCCGCGGTACACACCTCGTGCAGCCCCCAGGCCCCGCGCTCAGAGGGCATCCTGCCTGCTTTCGTGCTCTTGAAATTCTTGCTAAGTCCTGAGCCAGGGCCCTGCACTTTCACTGTGCACTGGGCCACGCCGATTACACAGCCATCCTGCCTGTGAGCAGCCGGCACCCTGAGCTTCAGGGGCTGGGCTGGGAGTCCCCTGCCCCTGCACCGTACATTCCTCATTATGTGGGCCCAGAGAGAGGCTGCGTGGCGCACGCGTGGGCCTTACAGTGTGGACGTAGCCTGGCCTGTCCGAGCTAAGTCAGCCAATGGTGGCTGAGCCCAGACCGACACCAGGACTGCTGGGAGCATTTCCATTTCTTGAGAAATAACACTGTTCTGGAGGCACAGCTTTCACAGAATGGACCAAAGGCCACCTCCTCCAAGATTTGTATTAACCCACATTTCCCCACAAGTCTTTGTTTATTGGTGCCTGCTTGAAAAGAATAAAGTGTCTTCTGAAGGGTATCGTACTGGATAAGGAATTCTCCAGGTTCTCTGGTCTAGGAATCTACACCAAAAGCCAGACTATGCCCTTTTGGAAGCAAGGCCACTCAGCACCCTCGGCCCCGTCCTTATCACACAGGGCAGGGCTCGAGTTCCCAACCCTTCCACTCAGCAATCCGAGCAACGACTTATGCCTCTGAGCTGCAGGTTTTCCTCGGAGAAGTGAGCAGAATAAGGCCTCTTCACCTTCCTGGCTATCCCACGAAATAAAGCGGGCACCGAGCAGGCTTCCGAGCCCGCGGATAGCATCTGCTCACACTAGTCTCGGTCCTCAGCGAGCGCCTGCTTCCCAAATATATAAAAACAGACTAAAAGCATGGACTGTGCCAGTCAGCAAACTTCAGACATTTGAGCAGGTTGGTGGTGAAATACTTCTCGGAAGAGGGGAGAGAGGCAGGGGACAGAATCGGAGAGGACGGGAGTGCCACTCACACACTGGACAGAGTAGCACCAAGTCGCTGGGTTTCAATGATGCAGGGTGGACTGGGGCTTCCGGCACTGAGGACGTCTCCCGGTGAGGAGAGGGCCCCGAGGAGGAAGCCGGCATGAGGGCAGGATGCTCGCCTGGCGGAGCAGCTGAGGGGGGTATCTGTCAAGCTGGGGATCTCGCACCTGCTGCTGCGGTTTGCAGCCTTTTCCTCAGTCATCAGTGTCAGAGTCAGTGTGGGGAGCACTTAGTCCCCACAAGGCATCGAGGCTGCAATGCTGTGCGGGTCCACCCAGCTCCCCAGGACAGTGTGAGTCTCTGCCTGCCTCAGCGCTCAGTGACGTCACTCTGGACCACCCCACCCCACTCCAGCCTGCGGTGGGGGCACTGATGGCACGGAAAATGGCCAACAAGATGAATCGGGGCTTTTTCTCCCCCTCCTTTCCGGGAGTGGGTTGTTACACATTTACTAGCACACCACTGGCTTTGGGCCACAAAAGATGATTTAAAATGGGATTAATCTGTGTTTTGCAAATGTCTCTCTGGCAGAGGGTGAAGGAAAGACCTTGGATGACAGGGGAGGGAGAGGGTCTACAGGGGGAGGTGGCAGGAGGCTCCCGCGGTGGCCTCAGTGTGAGTAAGGCTTGAACTGGGAAAGTGGAGTGTCTACAGTTAATATTTTTTTTTTTAAGATTTTATTTATTTATTTGACAGAGAGCTCACAAGTAGGCAGAGAGGCAGGCAGAGAGAGAGAAGGAAGCAGGCTCCCCACTGAGCAGAGAGCCCGATGCGGGACTCGATCCCATGACCCTGAGACCAGGACCTGAGCTGAAGGCAGAGGCTTTAACCCCCTGAGCCACCCAGGCGCCCCAATAATTATTTAAGTCGGAGTCATTCCTTGGTCTCCTAGCTGTTTCTTCATTAAAGCATGAGCAAGTTTTATCTCAGGTTTACAACTCAAGAAATTAAATGTTAGCATAAAATCCCATGATTTCACATACTTCTAATTATTAATGGCCTGTACTCAAAAGTAAAGAAACAAGTAGTCTAAATATACACACACACACATACACACATACACACATACACACCAGGAAGGTGGCTTCCAGCTTTAGTCTGAAGACAAAGTGTTATCAAACAGCAGTGACCAGCACAGGGCACTCAGGAGGTCATATTTACGGGGCTGCTTGAGCACTCGTTTTGTGTTTGCATCCGTGAGTCCTTTTTGTCATAGCTCCCTTCTGGACCTGCGTCCTCCCTCCACCTTGAGACGGATGTACTCCAAGGGTGGCTCTCCAGAGTATCTATAGATCTCAGATCTTTCACAACTGAGACAAAATGAACCCTTGCTAGGAAGTCTCTCCTAATTCACTGTTCCTAACCATCTCTTTTTATCTTGTACCTTCTCAGGACCTACACATTCTGTCTCCATTAAATGAATTTCTGTAGCTTAATGTTCTCCCTTGGAATTTTTGTCAGCCCATTTCCTTTATATTTCAGCCCTCATCTAGATCCAAAGTCAATCTGCTTTCAGTGCACTAGGGTAAGGAGATCCTGCTCTGGGCCTGAGTTCTGCTACTAGCTGGTTGTGGGATCTTGGGCAAGTCTACAAAAACGAGAGAGTAAAGTGACCTCTCCAGTCACTGCCCAGCATATGAAACTGTTTCGGTTCCTCTGACTCCTCCAGAATGTCCAGTCTAGTTCTCTACAGGTAGCAAGGGTTCCAGAAATGGCTCATCCAATAACAAACATAATCAATACTTTCCTTTTGTGGATGGAGAATCCTGTGTTTCTCTGGACTGAATCCTCATGAACACTGAATCCTAACATAGCAGATATATGTGCTCTAGGAAAGCTCTAAGGTCTATTTGGAAGTAAAGGTCCCCAGTTGCAGGATAATTTCAAGGCTCTAGCTATGGACACAGAGATCTGAGTTCTGCTTCTGCTTGACCATTAATTCTAGGGATCCGAGAAACTGGTTGAACCGTATCACACCTCTCATTTCCGGCTGCACCAGCTTCTCTGCAGGAATGCTAACACAAGGATAAAACTTTTAAAGTGTGAAATGAAAAGAATTCTTTGCAAGCAAATAAGACCTTTATAAGTTTAAAGTTGAAAACATTAATCACATTTGATGTCAAACGTAAAGAAGCACTTCATTTAAAGCCAAAGGAATTTATATTCTAATAGGTTGAAAGAAAATAAATCCTGTATCCCATTTCCCCCCTGAAGCCCTATTTTAAGCTCAGAACTCATGGAAGGGAAACAAGAAGGTTCGTGTCTCAACAGAAGCGATATCACCCTCAAGCAGATAAAAACTGATTCTTGGGGAATGGAAAACACTTACTGTGGTGACATACACAGCACACATACACACAGAGTTACGTCAACAGATACTCAGCGTATCTGGTGTTGGAATTCCACTGAGCGGGGGAGAGAACTATATTATTACCGTGCCGCGCAACATGGGCCTGAAGGGAAATCATGCTGGATGGGTGAGGAGTAAACCCCATCTAGCCTCAGGGAACCCGAGCTGAAACATTCTGGAAAAGATCACTGTAACAGCTGCCAGAGATTTACTGGAGGATGGGGCTAGAGAAAACAGGTTTTGCTACTCTGGAAGCTTTAGGACAGAATTGGTCCTCCAAGAGAATTTCAAAGAACGCATGTTTTCAGTGAAAATCAATTTACTCTCCAATTGCACAGAAGCATGAGAGACTTGGTTCCTTCCCACCTTCACGTTCACACTGCAGATCTCCCTTCCCTACCCTAAGATGCACTTTGTGGGAAGAGACACGGCTTTGCCTCCAGAGGAAACAGAGACACTCAAGGCGGTGAAGAACAGATAGCCCAAGGTCAGCGGTCTCCTGGCACTCAGCCTGAGCGGGAACGCAGTCTTAGACACACTCAGCTCATCTCTCTGCCGGAAAAGGTCACCATCTGAGTTGGGGGTGACACACAATAATGGGGAATTTCATCTCAGAAGGGCATGTCTACATGCGTTCCAGAGACTCTCTCCTGTGGCCCGCACGGCTTCTCTGCTAAATGGGCTCACTGCTGCCACCACCACTGCCACCAAGACCACTCAGCCTACAGAGCTCCTTGGCGGCCGTGTGGTTCCACTCTCCGTGACCTATGCAGCTACGATCTTAGCAGAGAAGCCCCTCCAGCCTTCCTTTAAGAGCCACCTTGCTGATGACCAGGCCCCAGAGGGACTGTGATCTGTGGGAATGGTGGCATGAGGGACGGGCACTGGATCTGGTCCTCACTCCCCCACTCACTCACCATGTGACCTGGGGTGAGCCACCCCCATCTGGCTTCCGTTTGCCATCCGTCACCTTCCTTACCTGGGAGCGTTTGTAATAACAAAGAGAAAATGTGCTGCATCCGTAATGCAATAATCCTAGTTTCCAAAAACCATATAAGAAAACTATGAAGGTGTGAAATTACCTTTCCGTGAGGTACTGTTCCTATTTATTTTCCGCTTTTAAATATTGCAAGCACTTTTAATGAACAAGGTGCTGGGAGCAAAGGCCAGAACATGTGCCAAACTTAAAAATTACTATGGGAATCAATCCACAGATTTCCACTCACCTTTACTCATGGTCAGGTGCCCCTGGTAATGAAAGACAGGACACAGAGCCACACAAGGGCCCCTGCAGGTCATTACTCACCAGCTGCTGTTCTAAGGGAGGCACTGCGTCCTGATGGCCGTATATTATGCCGGGATTGTACTGACTGAAAAGGACCGGATAAAATACCTTCTTCCCTGCAAACCAGGAAACAAACATTCTCCTAAAGCAACAGACGGAACTATCAGGCTGGTTGGCTTCTATTCAACCCTCGGAAATATCCCAGGTATTTCCATCCACTTTTCCTTTTCTTATCATTCGACCCTAAAACACATCTTAGAAGTTCTGCGCAGCTAGACCAGACAGACAGACTCTCCGATATCCCTTAATGCATGCCTACAGCCCCTCCTCTCCCTTTAGTTTCAGACAGCTTTCCAGCCCCTGTCCTCCCCCCACACTTTCTCCTGTGTGGGCCGACCTCCCTGCTGAAAATGGAAAATGGGTTACAGACTTGAACTTAGGACGAGGAGCCTCAGACTTATGGTGGCTGATAGGCCCACACTGACATCAAAGGAGAAATCAAATCAGATGATTTTCCTTCCCTTTGAGGTAAAATGGCGCCAGTGCAGAAGCAAGAGAGCTGAGGGAGCTGTGAAGGGACGCATGTGAGTGTGACAGAGCTAAACACCACCATGGGGGAGAGAAAGGGAAGCGCCAACTCCAGAGACCCTTACCTGGCTGTGTGTTCAGTCTGCACGTATTGAGGAATTCGGAGGTGAAGTAGATGTCGACGTCACAGAAAAAGAGAAGGACGTTGCTTCCTTTCCAGAAGCGGGCTCCCACATCAAGGCCCTTTCCCCGAGAAAACTCTCCGTTCAGTTGGATGAAGGTAAAGTTCCTGAAGTTGGCAGCTCTGAAAGGGAAGACCAGATACAGTCACTCACATGCTCACGTGCCCAGGTGGACAGATTCCCCTGGGAAACACAAGACCAGGGCCCATCCACATCTTGCCACGTAGGTGTCGTAACCGTAAAGACACTGAGATTACCAAGAAGATACAGAATGACCCAGACTCACTGGAAACTCCCTGAGATTAAAGGTACCAAGAACACTCAGGAAAGTTTTAGGACCAACTTATTTCTTCTTTCTCTAGCAATTTCCCCACAGTGAAAAGTGTACTGTTGTAGCTAATGGACATTATCTGTGATAGAGAAACTTGAACCAGTGGAGACTGGGTGAACAGAACCCAGGACAATCTCCATGCCTCCCAAGCCACCTGAATGAAACCACTGGGCCAAAGAAACAAAATCACACCGGAATGGACCCACCTGGTGTCTTCTCATCTTTATGTGACTCGAGACCAGGCATGACGGTCTTGATGTATGTCTATCCCCAAACACATCTAAGCCTGGACTCCTTCCCCATCTTCAGGAAAAGCAAGAGAGTACGGAGGAAAAAGTGACAGACTTGGATTCATATCACTAAGGCTATCCCAGATCTGGTTCTCCTATAGACTAACTCTGTGATCTAGGCCAGCCCAGTTATCTCCTGGAAGCTCAGTTGCCTCATCTGCAAAATGGGAATGATAGCACCTTCCTTAACTACTCACAGCGCTACTAGTTAGGTTAATGCTGCCAAGAGCATAAAGAGGTCTGTAAGCATCAGCTCTCTCTGTCCTCAGCCCCGGCAAGGACTCCCAGGCCTGTGGTGGTAAAGCCAAGCAAGACATTTCTTCATCTGACTCTTCTTTCCCAGGGACACCAGAACCTTCTGAAATGGGGCATGTCTTGAGCAGAAGTTCCAAGAATTCAGGTGGTACCTAGTGGTACAGGAGTTGTCTTCTGCCAGACGGAACTAGGGAACGACTCTGAGGCCTGGTCCAGCTCCTAACCCTGCCTGTGCAGCAGGCAGCCTTGGCCTTTGACAAATCTCCTTTTCTGGCTCATGCCCCCATCTTTTCATCATGGTTCCTCTGTTTCCACAGCCTGGGCTCTCCCCTCCACCCACTGCCCACTCCTAATGCCTCTCTAATCTTGAGGTATTCAAAACATATAAAAACCCACTTCTGTTTCAAAGTTTGTATGCCAAGGAACTCTATTGGGCGAAGGTCAACACAAAAACAGAGTCAGAAACTTTTCAAATGTGAGGTTGTGCTTGTACCTGGTCATTTAATCAGCTGAGCAGAACTAGTTCTGCTACCCCTTTCCTGACGCGACATCTTCTTTCAAATCTGGGACTGGGGTGGGTTTTTTTATCCTGGGAATCTGTGGGCCCAACCTTGTCTGAATCTAGTGACAGACAGGCTTTTCAGATTTAAATCAGGGCAGGAGGGCTGGTGCCTGGGAGAGCACGGGCGTCTGCGTCTGCGTCAGCAAACCTGGATCCGGGGCCCACACCCACTAGGTGCTCAGCAGATGTCTGCGAGGAAACACATCAGCAGACAAATGGCTCTCATCCCAGCTCTCTCATCTATTTGGGGAAAGTCATTTCACTTCTCTTGCCTCAGGTTCCTCATTGAAAGTCTGGTGGAGCCCAAAGGGCCCTTTCCACCCTCAAATTCTGTTTCTCTGGGATTCTGCATTCGGTTAGGCAGGGCTCTGCCTGTGGAGGGATCCGCCCCTTCCTGCATGCCCCAGGGAGGCAGCCCACGGGTCGTAGTTTCTGTGAGTGGCACTAAAGTCATGCTCTGGGGCCTCCTCATGCTTGGCCTGGCCCTGATGAGGACCAGGACACCTCCCTGCTGCAAAGACACATGCAGGTGGAGTGTGGCCTCTGCAGCCGTGTCCACACCTGCCAGAGGCTTCCACAGCCCCGCTCCTGCAAGTCAAGCTCAGCCCACTTCTCCCTGCCCTGTCTGGGCAGTTTTCAGGAAAGTTTCACCCTTGGGAGGAACCTGGATTCTCCCCTCTTCATCTAAGGAAGCCTCCTGCCAGGTCTCACAGGACTTAGCCACATTCCTGGGGCTCATCTTTTTCTAACAGCCAGTTGTGGGTCTCTTTCTTGACTTGTCTCAAGGCTCATATGCTCTGGGGGCGAATAGAATGCAGGGATATCTGCATTAGCCAGTTGGCAGAGCAGGAAGGCCTTCCTTCTTCAGGATCTACCATTTTCCAGGTTTTCCAGGATCTACCATTAGAGAGTTCAAATATAAAAATGCTCTATATTTGAACAACAGCAAGCAACTTTCACCAGAGGAAGAGGAATGCAGTTCCTCTTAAAGGTACAGCCCAGTTTCCCTCCTGGAACAGCCTACGGTCCTTTGTGCACACATATCGAATTTTTACAAAAGCTAAGTCATGTTGAATACTTAAGAAACCAAGGCAGCACCAGAAACTGAGGTAACAGCATTAGAGATATGACAAGACTGTAGGTGTTGACCATGGGGTGAATGGTGGAAAGGCAGTTGAGTACTACAAACTCAGAGGGAACAGTGGTAATTTGATGTCTACACTTACCCAATGTGTAAGTTAATCAAGTTTGTTGTCTCTAAATTCCCCCAACCCTGGCTTGAGCTGTTTTTTGGCAGCAAAGGGCAGGGGGCAGGAGGAAGCTGGGGGGCGGGGATCGTCCGTCACTCAGAGCCCCCAGGGAAAGGAAAGGAGTGAGCACTGTGCCTAGTACTTGAGATGACCTTAATCTGGAAGAACTTTTTTAGAAAATCTTAAAACATCATTTCTAGGCTTCAACATGTTGCCTTTAGAGAAAGGGAATTCAGGAGCACGGACGCCAACGGACCCTCCCTGTGGCCCTAAAGTGAAAGGCGATCTGCTTCCTCTTTCTTCAGCGAAGCTCTCTATAAGGATGAGACAATCCACGTTCTGTCCAGGCGCTACCCAATCTCTGAATGGGCGCTTCCAGGCCCCTCTCAGGGCACCCACAGGCCATGCAGAAAGGTGCAGGGTGGGCACCTAACTCTGTCTGCTCACTGTCTGCCCAGCTGCCTGGTGGCCCGATGGGGGCCCAGGCTCATGCAAAGAAGGCTCCTGCACCTAGCTCATCCACCACGACCAGCGCCGGCCAGCAGGAGACAGGCGTTGCTCCTGCCGGCCTCCCAGCAGACATACATATGATGGCTCTGTGCCGAAGGCCTGATTCACAGAGCTGGACGTGAGGGCACAGCAGAAGTGGGGCGGGGCGGGGACAGAGTCGTAGCTGGTCTGGGAGGCACCATTCACCACCCACAGGTGTTGGAGAAGGCCCAGAGCTAACTTCGTCATCCGTCTGTGGTTCCCAGGATGCCTGCCAGGTCCCCGGGCTCAGCTGTGAGTCTGTCTGCAGAGGGTAATAGTACTGTCCTCCCTCTCCATCACTCAGCCCAGGCACTTCTTAGAACTGACCAGTCTCTGGATGAACCCCGTGCTCTCCTCTCTGCTGTCAGGAAGGGCCTCAGATAATTAACAGGTATTTTCTACTAAGACAGAGAGCTGAGCTGGAAACAGCAGAGAAAGAATGGGAACTACTTCCCTTTCTCTCTTTTCCAGAACAGAGAGATTAATACACTGTCAAACATCTGGGCCTGGCAAGTGGACAGCTTACTCTCTCCTCAGACTCATCAGCACCAGCCCCGGAGCACAGGGCACAATAGGATGAAGAGAAACTGGCTTCGGCAGGATGGCCGGGCCCCTCCCTCCACACGTTCGCTGGCTTCACTCAGAAATGCTGCTCACTCGCTGGGCAGGGGACTCGCTCACTGGCCAGAGCAGCCCTGCTCCCCGGTGTAGGAAACAGTGGAGGAAGGGGCAGCAGAGCCATGCAAAAGCAAGGACCACTTCAACATAAAACCCTTTTTCGCCCCCAAGGGGGTGTGGTGGTGGGTTTGGGAATGTGCCACAGAGGTGCCCAGGCAAGGACCCTGTTTTGTCCTCTGTCCTGAACATCCCCCACCCAGGGACCATCCAGGCTATGATCACGGATGGTATGCCGTGTGCCTCCTGCCTCAGCGCCAGGGTCCCTTCCCGGAATATGCTTTCTCCACCCTCTCCCACAAAAACCCCACTCAGTCTTGACAACCTGAGACAAGTATCACCACCTCTTAGGTCTTGCTGCAAACTGAAGGGCCTGTTTGGGGTCCCTAGCACTTTGCCCAATCCTCCCTCTGTCCTCCCGTGCCTGGTGCCTTCTTGTGCCTTTGCCTGTACAGATATGTACTGGCTGACTTACAGGATATAAATCCTGGGTGGGTAGGGGTGACTCCCCCCTTTTTGTAATCTCCAGAGATTATCTGGCACAATAGATAGTAAGTAACACACACAGGGATACAGTGGGTGATTGGTAAGCATTGGATGAATGGAGGATAAAGCCACAGGAAAAGCTGAGGTGTATCTCACACCTTCACTGTTGGGGGGATTGCCCATGATTCCTCCTTCTTCCCTCAGGGGGGTACTGGGGAGTCCTCATACATCAGCAGAAATAGTCCCCAACCAACAGATTTCTAAGGAGAGACACAAACCCACGCTTTTAGAAAGATGGCAAATACGAAATAACGGAAGAAATGAGAGCCAAGAAAAAGGAGATACAATTTAGTTTGAAATATTTAATTTATCCCATACAAAGAACTGTAACATTTAGTGGCACATCTAAAGTAACAGCCTGGGAAGGAAAACGGGCCTTCTTCATAGTAGAATGAGGGCACTAGATTCTATACTATGCAATTTCCAACTATGACTCCAGAATATGTGGTTCCAAAAGGCCCCATGATTACTCACTATTCTTCTTCTTTTCTTCTTGAATTGTTACTGACTGATGAAACTCTCAAGTTTCTCATTCAATTCCCCTTTTTTATATAATAAGGCTGGTGCATAGGGACTCCTCCAAGTTATATACAATCATTCTGCTAGAGGTTATAATGACCTCAGAAAACTACTGTTTCTACTGGAGATTTAATTTCTCTAATTGACTTTATTTCCCAGAATT